CTACAATTTTTCCTCATGAGTTTTAAGTTAAAAAAAAAAAAAGCCACATAGATGACATTTTAGAAGGGAAACAAGACAGAGAAATGGCCCTCTGGACACCAGGGTCCAGCGCCCAACCTGGCACAACTGGAAGGCAGTTAAAGAAACAAAAAACCTCTGAGGCTTTGCTGCCAAGTAGTGCCTGGCTTGCTGGCTGCAGCCATGCAGACAGCTCCTGCATCCTGGCAGCCATTGAGGTCAGAGGAGGAAGTGAGCAGCTGGACCCTCACTGGCACCATCAACTATAGATCCCCCACTAGCTAGAATGCTAAGGTCTGGAAGCATTGGCTTTTAAAGAATAGGACCAATGCCTCATTCACCAGGTGTACAGACTAGCCAGGTCTCTGTTGGGAAGGCCTGTGTCTGAGGTTCTGTCTTTCCCTCTGTCACCGTTCCCTCTTTTTTTCCCTCCATCTGAGGCTCTTCAGTCTGTTGATTTTTTACTGAAATGTGAAGGATTTCAGTCTCTTTGGGAGTCTCGGTTTTGGCAAACCTGTCCTTTCACTTGGAATAGTGAGCCTTTCAGAAAGCAACTCTACTCAGGCGAGCACTGCCAAGGCTGTGGGGATGAAAGTCTCAGAGAAGTGAGGTGCAATACTTGGGTCTGAGAAGATACCTTTGCTTGCCAGCATGTGGAACCTGTTGGTTGCATTGATCTAAACCTCAGGGTGGCCTTGAGGGATGAATTTGCATGAATAGTTCCGTTAAGAATTTAGCAAAACTTATATACCCCTTGGTTGCTCAAGGTGTTGTATTTGGCCATTTCACATCCATGACCCAAAGAAAGCAAGGAGTGTGGCAGCTCCTTATAATCCAGCTTCTTCCACTAAGAAAGAGTAAACACCAGCGGCCCCTCCTGGATGTCACAGTGGGAACCAGACCCACATCTAAGACTCTGGCTTTTATAAGATGAGTCCTTGAGGCTTTAAGGCCCACTCACGTCATGGAAACTTGAAAGGCATTAAATCGTAATCCTAAATAATGGTGAACCGAACAGGAGGTATTTACAAAGCCATGTCACCTCTCCTAGTAGTGCAAGGGCAATTAACTGAGTCCAGGAATTTCTCTCTAGGGAGCCTGTGATTTCCTGAAATTATCTGCAATAGTCTGTTTGAAAGTATTTTTTCTAGGAGCCTGCCACTTTCATCAGATTTCCTAATGAGTTTATGATATCTAAAAGGTTAATTATTCTGGATGTGAGCTTCTTGGGCCCAGGGACCTGGTCTTGCTCTCTCTCACAAGCAAGTGGCACAGGGACCTTGTACAAAGTTTAGTGTATGATGGTCAAATGAATGGACAAGCAGAATCACTTGAGGCCCTTCCTTCTCATCAACTGAGTTGTTCTGGAATCGTTTAAGCGTGACAAATTTTCTTATCAGTGTAGAATGCTTCTACTTCTATTGTCATCATGAGAATTGCTGAAACTTGAAGATTCCCAGCATCAGCGCAGAACTCCCCATTTCTCACTCTATGTGAGACCTGTGTACTTGTTTAGAAGGTTCTGTCCCTGCTCAGATGATACTTTGTTCCTGTGTTCTCATCAGCTCTGCAAACCTGACTTGGCTCAGAGAAGCAGGAAGAAGGCATGTGCTCTCCAGACCGCCACCAGTCAAGAGAGACTCAAATTCTGAGGAAGTCATTGCTCTAAGAGATTGAACTTTCTTATAGCTGAAAAACTTGGACTTTTAGTTAAAAGTCTGTTTTCATACTCTTAAGTCCCCTTTATACCTTAGTGACAAGTATGGGGGGATGTAATTTAACATACTCATTGTGTACGGGTGTAAGATTACTGGAAGAATCAATCTACATGGATGTTCATGCAGGACAAGTAGGTGTTTGGACTGATGGGGTGGTCTTGCCAAACCTTAATCTGTTTGGCATTTGAGTCTGTGGTTGCGGGTGCTGGGACAGTGTGTGTAATGGCATCCAGTGCTTGCGGGGGTCTGCAGCTTGGACATGTTGGGTGAGGGAGAAAGGGGGCTGGTTATACTGTGGGCAGGTTTGGTCCCTTCGCCTGCCAGCATGCTCCGATGCTCCTCATGAAAGGAAGGGCTTTACAGAACTGTGCTTGGCACTGGTGAGTCACCGCCTTTCCCAGGGACCTCCAGCCTGGCTGGGGTGGTTTGAGCTTTCCATGCTGCGTGGCCACCAGCTCTGATTGGGAGACAAGGGGTGCTGAAGAACTCTGCCCTTGGCCGACTTCTGTCATTTTCTGTGAGCACAGCTCCTCAGTGAGCCCTCGGCAGGACCGTACTTTTGGCTGTTGACCAAAAAAGCGTGGAAACTTTGAGTGACAGGGTTGAGAAGTTGGTAGGAGGAGGAGTGGACACAGACACAGGAACATTTAACGCCCAAGAGCTTACATGGGGCCTGTCCTGCATAGGAAAGAAGCTTCCCTTTCAATCTCTGTTCAGACACATGGGCAGATAGACCCCGTCAGAATTTCTAGATCGTTAGGATTCCCTTCAGGAGTCTTCCTCTCAGTCTCCTGGGAACTTCTTGTCCATTAAGATTTTATATGCTGAATCTTTTTTGTTTGCTTGCTTTCAGGGAGAGGTTGGGTACACTATAGATGAGAAGATGCAGGTAGATAAAAGTAATTACTTAAACATATACGGGGCAAGACTTACAGGTTTGGAGGCCCAGATTAAGATGCAGAGGAGCGTGTGAGGTTGATGATTATATTTCGGGGAGAGTTAATTGATGGAAGGTGAAGGCAGACAAAGAACCGCTGCTTACTGCCTTCTTGAATCCCAATCAGGAATTATGATTAAAGTCTCGGCGAGACAACAGAGGGCTGATGAATTGGTGTCTTTTTTTTTTTTTTCTTTTTTGCCGTCATTCACACTTGATTGACTTCAACCTTTCAAGTGCAAAAGTCTCTCTTTTCCATTATTATTCATAGCCATCTGAGTTTTTCTAATTAAAGTGTATGAAAACAATTACTGATCCGTCGTACTGAGTCTGTTAGAGGGGATGTCTGCCTTACTGTAATGCGTATAAAGAGCCCACAGTTTTCTATAATGATGTGCAGCTGAGGTGTTAGATAATTTTATTCTTTTTTACTCTGTAGGGCTTTTTTTTTATTTCTCATGATTCATTTTTCATAATTCCTAAAGATCCCAGGAAAGGACTGATCCTGCAGCTACAACTGAGAAAGGAGGTGGGGGGCAGTCTTTTTTTCCTTTCCCTTTCTCCCCATCTTGCCCCCAACCTCGTGCTCCCCCTCGGTTGAGGACTATAAATTAATCGGTGACCTTTCACTTCTTGGATTCCCGCTGGACTCCCCAACCACACTGGTCAGAAATGCTTTCTATTAAAAAGAAAATAGATGGAATGAGTTTGGCAATCTCTGCTCCATTCCTAACGATTCATCAACAGCTAGCCTTAACCAGCTGGCAGTGAGCTTTGTGTGAGGGCGCAATGTCTGGGCAAGAGGGGTTCTGTGTCACTCACGTGCACCCACCGCGCACCTGCTGTTCATAAACATGGGGCTCCTCAGAGCCCTTCTCCAGTGCCTGTTGCTTAATTTCTGCACCTTTGGGCATCTGGGTTGCTGAGATTATCCTAACACCCTGAAATGTAAGGGGGAGTTACCTTTATGGTATTTATGGGGACAGCTGTCCGAGTTTCCCCTTGAGGTGGAACCTACCACTGATGATTCTAGTGAATGCATCAGCAGCGATTTTGAACAAGGCCAGAATCCTTAAACCATTAGAAATTAATAGTAAGATTTATTTTAAATATTTAATTTTGAACAGTTATCTAGATGTTCTGGTCTTTGCAACAGCAAGAGAAGATACTATCTCAGTGGTCATGTTTGATGAGGAAACAATGTCTCCAGGTGGGCTGGGTGCCATGTAGAAAGGCTAGTGGTGACTGTATGTTTCTGTTCCTGTAACCTCGGGATCAGTTTATGTCTCAGGCTGCATTCAAACAGGGGATGATTTCTGATTCACCTGGGAATACACTCAACTACCTTGCTGTCCTGTAGCAGGCAAAGGGGCACTGCTTCTTTTTAAACCAAGATGCTTTTAGCCTTATGTTGCATACTGAGGGCTTCTTATCACATTAATGGAAGGCAAATGATAACGTGTTTGGACAAGTTTCTGGCCAGATGGCAGGACAGCCTGGAGAAATAAATCCCTAAAATCTGACCTTAAATGGTAGCTCTTTTGACCCAGGTTGCTATATTGGTGGGGCTGCCACCTATATAAGGTGGGGCTGCCCTGTTGTAGGATGCAGGACACCCTCTGGGCTACCACACAGGTGGAAGTTCCCTCCAATGCTGTGTACCTCAGGCAGAGACCCTGGGAGAAATCCTGACTGAAGTGAGTCATAAGAAATGCTCATTTGCACTTGATCTCAGTTTACAAAGGGTTACAAAATGTTGTTTCCTAGAAAATCTGCCAGTGTGTCTGCATGTCCTTAGCCTTCCCTTTGTTCTCCTCTCTTCTTCTTACCCTTTCTCTCGCTCATTCCCCTCCTCTTCTTGCCTGAATACATTTTGAAAATAGTACTACAATGCTCCCTGCTTCAAGATTACAGTGTACTTTACTAGGTATGATTTAATTAGGGCCCTTATTATGTTTTCAGCAGCTTAAGGTGGGCCTTTCAACTTATCTACCTAATTGGTTGCACAAGAAGTTTCACAGCCCATGACAAAACATTGTCAGTGATCAAAGTCAAAATTCTGCATAAAGGAAAAATATTAATAATAAGATTATTCTTCAAGTGTGCACTGCTAATTATGTCCAGAATGTAACCGTAGAAACACTTTTGACTGATGTGAGCTTTGTCTAATAAACATGAATCTTCAGTGAGCTATGGAAAGTGACACCTCCAGCCTTAACACTGGTGAAGGCTAATTTTGCTTATTAAATAATTTCTACACATTTTCCTATTGGGGTCTCTTTCCTCTCCTTTTGACTTGCCTCATGTCTCTGCCGCTTGCTCTTCAGGTGACCACCCCTGAGATGGTGATGCCCAGCAGCATGTTCCTCCCAGCGGCTGTTCCAGATCGAGACGGGAGCTCCAGTGTGGAGGAGGCAGGAAAGCAGCCTGGTTAGTGTCATGACTCTTGACCTTGAGAAGAGAAAAAGAATGTTCATAGGGCAAGAGTGCTGCAGATTCCTTACTGTACTCCTAAGCTGAATGTAACTTTTCAAGGGACGAGGGGCACTGTTGTCAGCACTGGATACTTGGGCTCTTAGTGGGTATCTGTTGCTGTTCTTGTGGTTTGAAGTGAGAAAAGCTCAGGTGAGAACCAGTGAGGTTCTGGTGGACACATGTCCCCTTAGACTGTACAGTGAGGAAGTTAATGACCAGAGAGTCAGAACACACGTAACTTACCATCCCAAGCCGTTACATATTCCCTCTCTGAGGACTTAAACATGAGGGACTTGTGGAGCACACGGGTGATCTCAGGGCACTGGATTAGGTATGTTTCTAGGTGCTGTATCTGCACAGAACTCTTCTCTGAGACTTCCAGGACTGTCTCATAGAGGACTGTCTCATAGGAGGCAGCAGAAAAGAACATTTGGAAGGGACGCTGTTGTAAACATAGATGCTGGTGGTGCCCTGCGGTGAGCCCTCACTGGGTGGGACCTCTGTTTATGAGTCTCTCCTCTATCACTGACATCTTGTCAGCAGCTAAGATTTAAGTTGGGAAGAGTTCTGCCCCACACGACCTCCCCACCTCCTCCCTTGTGATTTCTCCATACTAGGCAGTGTACCACTGACCTGAAAAAGGGTCAGAATATTTATGGGTGTGATGGTCTCACTGTAGAAAAATTTTTTAATGTATTTTCGTAATTGGCCACTTGAACATGCATTGCTTATTGAATAGAGAGGACAGTCAGAAGTCAAAATCTAATGCCTAAGAAATATATCCAAAATATATCCCCACATCCAAAATTTCTTGTTACAATGGACAGCAGTCCTTACAAATGCCCCACATCTTAGCAGCACACTAAATCACATATTCTACAGTTTAGATCCATGTAAAAGGGGTATCCTTTTATTTGGTGAGAAACTGAAACAGATATTGTTTAAAAGACAGATCTGTGTGATGGTATAGGCCTACTAAGAGTTAAGACTTTCTGTATTTCCTTTTCTTCCTCTCTTCTTCCTATATGCTCATATAGCATGTGCTCTCTAGGGGCGGGCGGGGGGCTCCGTGGAGAGTGTGTGTCTGCAGCTTGGATACTTCCCTCATCATCAGATTCTGTGCTCACAAGGCCTTGCTAGGCAGGCAGTTCGAAGCCCTCTTTATCATTGGGCTTGATTTCTATTTTCTTTACAGAAACCTCAGAGGATCTGGGAAAGAACATCTTACCCTCTGCGAGCACAGAACACAGTGGAGATTTGAAACCCTCTCCTGTGGACCCGGGCTCTGTGAGAGACGATTCAGGCTTCCTGTGCTGGAAGAAGGGGTGCAACCAGGTTTTCAAAACTTCCGCCACCCTCCAGACGCACTTCAACGAGGTTCACGCCAAGAGGCCTCAGCTGCCAGTGTCGGATCGCCATGTGTACAAGTACCGCTGCAACCAGTGCAGCCTGGCTTTCAAGACCGTGGAAAAGCTGCAGCTCCACTCTCAGTACCACGTGATCAGAGCTGCCACCATGTGTTGTCTCTGTCAGCGCAGTTTCCGAACTTTCCAGGCTCTGAAAAAACACCTTGAGACAAGCCACCTGGAGTTGAGTGAGGCCGACATCCAGCAGCTTTATGGTGGCCTTCTGGCCAATGGGGACCTCCTGGCAATGGGGGACCCCACCCTGGCCGAGGACCATACCATAATCGTGGAGGAAGACAAGGAGGAAGAGAGTGACTTGGAGGATAAACAGAGCCCGACGGGCAGCGACTCTGGGTCGGTACAAGAGGACTCGGGCTCAGAGCCAAAGAGAGCCCTACCTTTCCGCAAAGGCCCCAACTTCACCATGGAAAAATTCCTGGACCCTTCTCGCCCTTACAAGTGCACTGTCTGCAAGGAATCTTTCACTCAAAAGAACATCCTGCTCGTGCACTACAATTCTGTCTCCCACTTACACAAGTTAAAGAGAGCCCTTCAAGAATCGGCCACCGGTCAGCCAGAACCCACCAGCAGCCCTGACAACAAACCTTTTAAGTGCAACACTTGCAATGTGGCCTACAGCCAGAGTTCCACCCTGGAGATCCATATGCGCTCTGTGCTGCATCAGACCAAGGCCCGGGCAGCCAAGTTGGAGGCGGCAAGCGGCAGCAGCAATGGCGCCGGGGGCAGCACAGCCCCCTTGAGCTCCTCCACCCCGAGTCCTGTGAGCACCAGTGGCAGTAACACCTTTACCACCACCAACCCGAGCAGTGCTGGCATCGCTTCGAGCTCCAGCTTATTGAGTCAAGTGCCCGCTGAAAGTATAGGAATGCCACCCCTGGGGAACCCCATCAGTGCCAACATTGCATCCCCTGCAGAGCCCAAGGAAGCCAACCGGAAGAAGCTGGCAGACATGATTGCATCCAGGCAGCAGCAGCAGCAGCAGCAGCAGCAGCAGCAAGCACAGACACTGGCCCAGGCCCAGGCTCAAGTTCAAGCTCACCTGCAGCAGGAGCTGCAGCAGCAGGCGGCTCTGATCCAGTCCCAGCTGTTCAACCCCACCCTTCTGCCCCACTTCCCCATGACCACCGAGACCCTGCTCCAGCTGCAGCAGCAGCAGCATCTCCTCTTCCCCTTCTACATCCCTAGTGCCGAATTCCAGCTCAACCCAGAGGTGAGCTTGCCGGTGACCAGTGGGGCTCTAACGCTGACCGGGACGGGGCCAGGCCTGCTGGAAGACCTGAAGGCCCAGGTTCAGATCCCGCAGCAGGGCCACCAGCAGATGCTGCAGCAGCAGCAGCAGCAGCAGAGCCAGCTCCCTCTGCCCCAGAGTCACCCTGCCCTCCTACAGCCCGGCCAGCACACTGAAAAGAAAAACAAACTGGTTATCAAAGAGAAGGAGAAAGAAAGCCAGAGAGAGAGGGACAGTGCCGAGGGGGGGGAGATCAGCTCGGGACCAAAGGAATCACTGCCCGATGCCTTGAAGGCCAAAGAGAAGAAAGAACTGGCCCCGGGGGTTAGTTCTGAGCCCTCCATGCTCCCTCCACGCATTGCCTCAGATGCCAGAGGGAACGCTACCAAGGCCTTGCTGGAGAACTTCGGCTTTGAGCTGGTCATCCAGTACAACGAGAACAAGCAGAAGGTGCAGAAGAAGAATGGGAAGACGGAACAGGGCGAGAACCCAGAGAAGCTTGAGTGTGATTCCTGCGGCAAGCTGTTTTCTAACATCTTGATTTTAAAGAGTCATCAAGAGCACGTTCATCAAAATTACTTTCCATTTAAACAGCTAGAGAGATTTGCCAAACAGTACCGTGAGCACTACGACAAGCTGTATCCCCTGAGGCCTCAGACCCCCGAGCCGCCGCCCCCACCTCCACCCCCGCCTCCACCCCCGCTGCCAGCAGCGCCACCCCAGCCAGCATCCACCCCGGCCATTCCCGCGTCGGCCCCACCCATCACCTCACCCACGATCGCCCCGGCCCAGCCGTCCGTGCCGCTCACCCAGCTCTCTGTGCCCATGGAGCTGCCCATCTTCTCGCCACTCATGATGCAGACGATGCCACTGCAGACGCTGCCGGCTCAGCTGCCCCCTCAGCTTGGACCCGTGGAGCCCCTGCCCACGGACCTGGCCCAGCTGTACCAGCATCAGCTCAATCCGAGTCTGCTCCAGCAGCAGAATAAGCGGCCTCGCACCAGGATCACGGATGACCAGCTCCGAGTCCTGCGGCAGTATTTTGACATTAACAACTCCCCCAGTGAAGAGCAGATCAAAGAGATGGCAGACAAGTCTGGGTTGCCCCAGAAAGTGATCAAGCACTGGTTCAGAAACACGCTCTTCAAAGAGCGGCAGCGGAACAAGGACTCCCCTTACAACTTCAGCAATCCTCCTATCACCAGCCTGGAGGAGCTCAAGATTGACTCTCGGCCCCCTTCACCAGAACCTCAGAAGCAGGAGTACTGGGGGAGCAAGAGGTCTTCGAGAACAAGGTTTACTGACTATCAGCTGAGGGTCCTGCAGGACTTCTTTGATGCCAACGCTTACCCAAAGGACGACGAATTTGAGCAACTCTCTAATTTACTGAACCTTCCAACCCGAGTCATAGTGGTCTGGTTTCAAAACGCCCGACAGAAGGCCAGGAAAAATTATGAGAATCAGGGAGAGGGCAAAGATGGAGAGCGGCGTGAGCTTACAAATGATAGGTATATTCGAACGAGCAACTTGAACTACCAGTGCAAGAAGTGCAGCCTGGTGTTCCAGCGCATCTTCGATCTCATCAAGCACCAGAAGAAGCTGTGTTACAAAGATGAGGACGAGGAAGGGCAGGATGACAGCCAGAATGAGGACTCCATGGATGCCATGGAAATCCTGACACCCACCAGTTCCTCCTGCAGCACCCCGATGCCCTCCCAGGCTTACAGCGCCCCAGCACCCGCGGCCAATACGGCATCCTCTGCTTTCTTACAGCTTCCATCAGAGGCCGATGAGCTAGCCACCTTCAGTGCAAAACCAGAGGCGAGTGATGAGAAACCAAAGCAGGCTGACCCTCCCAGTGCACAGCCAAACCAAACCCAGGAGAAGCAAGGACAACCAAAGGCAGAGCTGCAACAGCAAGACCAGCCCGAGCAGAAGATGAGCGCTGCCCAGCAGAAGCTCCCGCAGCTGACATCCCCCGCACCGGTACCTACGCAGCCTCCTCCACAGGTGCCCCCCCCTCAGTGCCCCTTGCCCCAGTCGAGCCCCAGCCCCTCCCAGCTCTCCCACCTGCCCCTCAAGCCCCTCCATACGTCAACTCCTCAGCCGCTGGCCAACCTACCTCCTCAGCTAATCCCCTACCAGTGTGACCAGTGCAAGTTGGCGTTCCCATCGTTTGAGCACTGGCAGGAGCATCAGCAGCTTCACTTCCTGAGTGCACAGAACCAATTCATCCACCCCCAGTTCTTGGACAGGTCACTGGATATGCCTTTCATGCTGTTTGACCCCAGTAACCCACTGCTGGCAAGCCAGCTGCTCTCTGGGGCCATACCTCAGATTCCGGCAAGCTCGGCCACTTCCCCTTCAACTCCCACCTCCACGATGAACACTCTGAAGAGGAAGCTGGAGGAAAAGGCCAGTGCAAGCCCTGGAGAAAATGACAGTGGGACGGGGGGAGAAGAACCTCAAAGAGACAAGCGTCTGAGGACAACTATCACACCAGAACAGCTAGAAATTCTCTACCAAAAGTATCTCTTGGACTCCAATCCAACTCGAAAGATGTTGGATCACATCGCGCATGAGGTGGGCTTGAAGAAACGTGTAGTCCAAGTCTGGTTTCAGAACACCCGGGCCCGGGAAAGGAAAGGACAGTTCCGGGCGGTGGGCCCAGCGCAGGCCCACAGGAGGTGCCCCTTCTGCAGAGCACTCTTCAAAGCCAAGACTGCCCTGGAGGCTCATATCCGGTCCCGTCACTGGCATGAAGCCAAGAGAGCTGGCTACAACCTAACTCTGTCTGCAATGCTCTTAGACTGTGACGGGGGACTGCAGATGAAGGGAGATATTTTTGATGGAACTAGCTTTTCCCACCTACCCCCAAGCAGTAGTGATGGCCAAGGTGTTCCCCTCTCACCTGTGAGCAAAACCATGGAGTTGTCTCCCAGGACTCTTCTGAGCCCTTCTTCCATCAAGGTGGAAGGCATGGAAGATTTTGAAAGCCCCTCCATGTCCTCAGTTAATCTAAACTTTGACCAGACTAAGCTGGACAATGATGACTGTTCCTCAGTCAACACAGCGATCACAGATACCACTACTGGCGATGAGGGCAATGCAGATAACGATAGTGCGACGGGAATAGCAACTGAAACCAAATCCTCTTCTGCGCCCAGTGAAGGGTTGACCAAAGCAGCCATGATGGCAATGTCCGAGTATGAAGATCGGTTGTCATCTGGCCTGGTCAGCCCAGCTCCCAGCTTTTACAGCAAGGAATATGACAATGAAGGTACCGTGGACTACAGTGAAACCTCAAGTCTTGCAGACCCCTGCTCTCCAAGCCCTGGTGTGAGTGGGTCAGCAGGCAAATCTGGAGACAGTGGGGATAGGCCCGGGCAGAAACGTTTTCGCACTCAAATGACCAATCTGCAGCTGAAGGTCCTCAAGTCATGCTTCAATGACTACCGGACACCCACCATGCTGGAGTGTGAAGTCCTGGGCAATGACATTGGACTGCCAAAGAGAGTTGTTCAGGTCTGGTTCCAGAATGCCCGGGCAAAAGAAAAGAAGTCCAAGTTAAGCATGGCCAAGCATTTTGGTATAAACCAAACGAGTTACGAGGGACCCAAAACAGAGTGCACTTTGTGTGGCATCAAGTACAGCGCTCGGCTGTCTGTACGTGACCATATCTTTTCCCAACAGCATATCTCCAAAGTTAAAGACACCATTGGAAGCCAGCTGGACAAGGAGAAAGAGTACTTTGACCCAGCCACTGTACGTCAGCTGATGGCTCAACAAGAGCTGGACCGGATTAAAAAAGCCAATGAGGTCCTTGGACTGGCAGCTCAGCAGCAAGGGATGTTCGACAACGCCCCTCTGCAGGCTCTCAACCTTCCTACGGCATACCCGGCGCTCCAGGGCATTCCTCCTGTGTTGCTCCCTGGCCTCAACAGCCCCTCCCTGCCAGGCTTCACTCCATCCAACACAGGTGAGTTCTGCTCTCAGCGATTTCTCCCAGTAGTAAGGAGCCACCACACAAAACCTGAGTGCTGGGCAAATGGGAGGCTCCACATTGCTAGTTCTCTAACTGCAACAGAATTTCAGGTCCCTTCCACTGAGAATCCCTAGAGCTGTGGTGTACATGGCTCTTCCACTTCCCAGTTCAAGAATGGGGACCCTGGAGTTGGAATGATCTCCTGAAACCATACTCCTGCCTGGTGTTCAGCACAGACCAGGGTGTGTGCTGTGGGCATGAACTGGAGGGTTCTGGTGTACTAGATCCTGGGGTGTTTTTGAGACAGCAGTTTCCATTATGGATCCTTCCATTCAGTCTTTGTGAAAATGCAGATCCCTTCTAGAAATCTATTGAAAATATAAAACATTTGAACATCCTAGCTAATTCTGGGTTCTGCCCTCTGGAAACAGGTTCAAGAGAATTTAAATCAACTCTTTGCTGTCCCCTGAGGTCCCGCCTCCTGTTTCAGAGACCTGCTCTCACAGGAGAGAGGCTACCAGGAAGTAGCTCTCACAGGGTGGAGCCTTACTCCGGGGGTTCCCTTTGATTCAGAAACACAGTAGTGTGTTAGTTTTGGGTTTTGGCTGCACCACGTGGCATGTGGGATCTTAGTTCCCTGTCTAGGGATTGAACCCACACACCCTGCAGTGGAAGCATGGAGCCTTAACCACTGGACCACCCTCTAGTTTCTAATTAGACTACCTCCATACTGGAATGCACTGACCAGGAACTTGTATCGGGCAATGTGGTTCTGAATTATGATGTGTTTTATAGTCGTCTAAACCAACAATGTTTATTTTTAGGGGGTGTTCAATCACCTCTTCATTTCCTTCTGCCCATTTCCCTTTCTAATGCAGAGTCACATACTTGGTGCTCATTTTTCTACCTCATAGGGAGTTCCACAGTTCTTCCTGTGTGCCTCTCTCGTTCCTCCTCCTCCTTGTTCCTCACCCGTCTTCTCTGGATCCAGCTGCCTTTCCTAAATTGGACCTCACCTCTAGGCTCCTGTGAGGCTTAGCACGAGTTAGTAAGCCCCCCACAGCCTGTACTGACCAGGGCACATTGTCCAAAGCAGAGCCCCTCAGTGTGCCTCCTTACCTCCGAAACGTCCCAGTTCCCAGGGGCTCTAATGGTTCAGCTGCTTCCCAGAGCAGCCCTTCTTTCTGGTTGAATTAAATCCAAGTTTTATAATTTTGGCAGTGGTTTTACAGGACATGAAGCTACCTCATTCCTGATCCCACTTTCTTATCCTAAGAGAAGAAAGCATTAAGATGTAGAAGTCGCTGCTTACCTGTGTTGACAAGTAGTGTCACAGGATGATGATAAGAGTCAGCTAGACGTAAGCCAGGAAACAGGAGAGGGGAAGTGGCTGAGTGCTGAACTACTCCTGTAGCCTGGGACCTTGGCAGAGGGGCTTGGGAAGGCCCAGCATTTCATAGTAATGAGGAAGAATTAGAATGTCTAATCTGTTCCCCTTGTCTTACAGATGAGAAAACTGAGGCCCAGAGAGGTCAAGACCATTCAGCAAGCTAGGGCAGGAGCCAGAGCTCCCGCCCAGGCCTCCAGGCTCCCAGTGCTATGCACTGGGCTCCTTCCACAGTACCCAGTGTGAGCCAGTCAGTCAACGGGTATATGCTTAGTGCTCCTCAGGTTCTGATCACTTACAGTGGACGCCAGGTAGGAAGATACGCTCTTAATCATTCAGGGAAGCCAGGCATGCCCCAGTTATCCCCACTGACTGAACCACAGCTCCCAGGAGTACTGCATCTGCAATTAGGAAAGAAAGGACTATGTCAGGCCCAATGGTAAGCTCTTTCCATGACCTTCCATTTCCTCCCCACACCCATCTACTGTGGAAAGCCGAGGTTCCAAGCATCACATGGCAGACATGTCAGCCACAGTCCACACGGCGTCAGGAGTGGACTCAGCCACTCCAGGAGTGCGTGACTCAGCCTCAGGGAGGTGAAGTGGCTTGTTTGGTTCCGACCTTACAGATGAGAAAACCAAAGCCACAGGATTATTGTGAGAGTGTACTGAGCTACTTTACTGAGTGAACACGCCTAGTGCAGAGCCTGGTAAATAGCAGAGGTTCAGTACATATTCCTTAAAATTGAATCTCTTTTGTCCTGCCATTTCTTCTCTGGGAGCCTGATGCCATAGGGATGGGGCAATGAGGAGGCATTTCTTCTCTGCCCTGCTGAGCACCTGGCTCTGCCTGCAGCTCCAACCTAAAACCTAGAGCAAGCCTGTTGCCTCGAAGTAGACAGAGCCATGTCCCAAGTGTGGAATTCATTATCTGGTCTGTCCCTGCCTTATTTGTGCTACCTTAACTAACCAACCTTTACTGGGTTTTTCTAGTGAGACACATCTTCTCCTCTGATTTTGGTCCCTTAACTGCATTCAGGAAACTGGATGACTTAGTCTCAGCTGTCCCTTTCTGTCATTTTGGAAGCGTTAGTTAATGATGTCATGTGATGCTGAGGGAAGCATTCTCCTCACTATCCCAAAGTTAATGCATGTTTTTTCTGGGATTGGCAACTGGAGGCAGCCTTGTTCTCCTCACCTGAAATGTGAGGGTTTTTAATGCAATGTGATAGCCCAGGGAACCCTATACCACTAGAGCCAGAAATCAACATTGTCTTCACCTGGGTCTGGCCTTCAGGAATGTTTACTCTCATGAAGACAGTGACTTGTTTGGAACCCCCCACCCCAACTTTCTTGCTGAAGGTGGTCCAGATGAAGAGAAGGGATGTCTAGTGTCTTGGATGTGGTCAGTGCTGTCCTCCACCACTTTGCTAGTCTACATGAACCAGCAGCAGCCTTCCATCACCCTGGAACAGAAGAGTTAAACCAGGAGATGACTAAGGGTCAGGGAGGATGGCAGTCTCTGGGCTCAGTGAAGGCTTTGCAGGTATGGTAGGTTAGGCCTGAGTGTGACTGAGAATGCAGCTCTACCCTACATGGGCCTAGTGCCACGGCCTGCCACCCATAAGCAGTGGGGCCTAAGTTTTGATGTGTCAGGAACTGCTGGTGCCAGCACTTTGGGCTGTTCCATTTCTGATGTTGCTTTTCCCTCTTTCTGTGTCTGGTTTCCAAACCTTCCTGTCAACCAAATAGGGGCAGGAGAAGAAAATGCTCATTTTTCCATTGGACTCCAGAGTCCTACTCCTAGATGGTCATATTTTTCAACAGATTTGTTAAAGCAGGTCAGCTGAGTCAAAGCAGTGGCTCTGTTTACCTTGAATGGATTGTTCTCATTTCTTCCCCTTCTTCCTCCTCTCTCTGCCTCCTAACACATCCATTCAGCGGCAGCAGTGGAGGTCACAGAGGCACATGTGTGGAGCCTGTTGTGTTTATTCCTGTGGTCTTGGTGCCTGACTGGGTTTCTTGCTTTTGTTCTCTTCTCCATACTGTATTACTTCTACAGGGCTTTTGATGAAGGCCATTGGTTCAAATGGGTCCCAGCTGGCAACAGCTAGTCTGAGAGCCTCCAGACTAATTGCCTTGGGCAGAGTGAATGGAAAGGCTTCCCTGGTGGCTCAGTCATAAAGAATCTGCCTGCCAATGCAGAAGACATGGGTTCGATCCCTGGGTTGGGAAGATCCCCTGGAAAAGGAAATGGCAACCCATTCCAATATTCTGGCCTGGGAAATCCCATGAACAAAGGAACTTGGTGGGCTACAGTCCATGGTGTTGCAAAGAATCAGACACATCTTAGCGACTAAGCAACAGAGCGAATGGTAGCTGGGAGAATGGCAAAGAAAACATGACCCAGTGGGATTGGGTGTGGCACATTGGGCTGTAAGGTGTTAGGAGTTGTTCAGCTGATAGGGACAGTATAGGAGCTGACCCTGGGTGGGGTCCGGATTAAAATACAGGTTGGCCAACCCTGAGCCTGGTAAGAAAGCTCTGCCGAAACATTAAATCCACAGAGAGGATCTTTTAAGTTCAAATTCTGAGCTCTTAGACCCTGTGCCAGTGACACAGATGAAACCTCCTGAGCAAAACCTCCCAAGCTTCAGCCTCGCCACCCAGACTGACATGTGACTTCTGTCTCCATTCCTTTCAGCTTTAACGTCTCCTAAACCGAACTTGATGGGTCTGCCCAGCACAACAGTTCCTTCCCCTGGCCTCCCCACATCTGGATTACCAAATAAACCGTCCTCAGCATCGCTGAGTTCCCCGACCCCAGCACAAGCCACCATGGCGATGGCCCCTCAGCCAGCCCCTCAACCCCAGCAGCAACAGCCACAGGTGCAGCCGCCGCCGCCAGCAGCCCAGCCACCACCTGCACCACAGCTCCCACCGCAGCAGCAGCCGCAGCAGCGCAAGGACAAAGACGGTGAGAAGGTCAAGGAGAAGGAGAAGGCACACAAAGGGAAAGGGGAACCCCTGCCTGTCCCCAAGAAGGAGAAAGGAGAGGCCCCCACGGCAGCCGCAGCCACGCTCTCAGCACCACTGCCCGCCATGGAGTATGCGGTGGACCCCGCACAGCTGCAGGCCCTGCAGGCGGCCTTGACTTCAGACCCCACGGCGTTGCTCACGAGCCAGTTCCTCCCTTACTTTGTACCAGGCTTCTCTCCTTACTACGCCCCCCAGATCCCCGGCGCCCTGCAGAGCGGGTACCTGCAGCCGATGTATGGCATGGAAGGCCTGTTCCCCTACAGCCCTGCGCTGTCGCAGGCCCTGATGGGGCTGTCCCCGGGCTCCCTGCTGCAGCAGTACCAGCAATACCAGCAGAGTCTGCAGGAGGCCCTCCAGCAGCAGCAGCAACGGCAACTACAGCAGCAGCAGCAGCAAAAAGTGCAGCAGCAGCCGCAGCCCAAAGCAAGCCAAACCCCAGTCCCCCCGGGGGCTGCTTCCCCAGACAAAGACCCTGCCAAAGAATCCCCCAAACCAGAAGAGCAGAAAAACGCACCCCGTGAGGTGTCCCCCCTCCTGCCGAAACCCCCCGAAGAGCCAGAAGCAGAAAGCAAAAGTGCGGACTCCCTCTATGACCCCTTCATTGTTCCAAAGGTGCAGTACAAGTTGGTCTGCCGCAAGTGCCAGGCTGGCTTCGGTGACGAGGAGGCGGCGAGGAGCCACCTGAAGTCCCTCTGCTTCTTCGGCCAGTCTGTGGTGAACCTGCAAGAGATGGTGCTTCACGTCCCCACGGGCGGCGGCGGCGGTGGCAGCGGCGGCGGCGGCGGTGGCGGCTCGTACCACTGCCTGGCGTGCGAGAGCGCGCTGTGTGGGGAGGAAGCTCTGAGTCAACATCTCGAGTCGGCCTTGCACAAACACAGAACAATCACGAGAGCAGCAAGAAACGCCAAAGAGCACCCTAGTTTATTACCTCACTCTGCCTGCTTCCCCGATCCTAGCACCGCATCTACCTCGCAGTCTGCCGCTCACTCAAACGACAGCCCCCCTCCCCCGTCGGCCGCCGCCCCCTCCTCGTCCTCGTCCTCCGCTTCCCCCCACGCCTCCAGGAAGTCTTGGCCGCAAGTGGTCTCCCGGGCTTCGGCCGCGAAGCCCCCTTCTTTTCCTCCTCTCTCCTCATCTTCAACGGTTACCTCAAGTTCATGCAGCACCTCAGGGGTTCAGCCCTCGATGCCAACAGACGACTATTCGGAGGAGTCTGACACGGATCTCAGCCAAAAGTCCGACGGACCGGCGAGCCCGGTGGAGGGTCCCAAAGACCCCAGCTGCCCCAAGGACAGTGGTCTGACCAGTGTAGGAACGGACACCTTCAGATTGTAAGCTTTGAAGATGAACAATACACACAAATGAATTTAAATAAAAAAAATTAATAACAAACCAATTTCAAAAATAGACTAACTGCAATTCCAAAGCTTCTAACCAAAAAAAAAAAAAAAAAAAAAGGAAAAAAAAGAAAAAGCGTGGGTTGTTTTCCCATATACCTATCTATGCCGGTGATTTTACATTGTTGTCTTTTCTTTTCTCGTTTAATATTAAAAAGAAAAAAAACCCTTAACCCTGTTACATTGTGTCCTTTTGAAGGTACTATTGGTCTGGGAAACAGAAGTCCACAGGGCCTCCCTATGTCTTTGGAGCTTAAACCCCTTGTATATTTGCCCCTTTCCAATAAACGCCCCACGTTGATAGCACAGAGGAGCCCGGCATGCACTGTATGGGAAAGCAGTCCACCTTGTTACAGTTTTAAAAAATTTCTTGCTATCTTAGCATTCAGATACCAATGGCTTGCTAAAAGAAAAAAAGAAATGTAATGTCTTTTTATTCTCAGGTCAATCGCTCACACTTTGTTCTGTTTTCAGAATCATTGTTTTATATATATTATTTTTTGTTTTTTTTTTTTTTTTTTGGTTTGTTTTTATTTTCGTTCCAGAAAAGATTTTTTTGTTTTGTTAATTTAAAAACGGGCAGAAAGTATTTGAGAAAAACAATGTGAACTGCTTTAGCTTTCTGGGGATTTTAAGGATAGCTTTTCTGCTGAAGCCAATTTCAAGGGGAAAAGTTAAGCACTCCCACTTTCAGAGTTAAAAAAAAAAACCCACACAGAGTGTTGAGGACTTGTAGCTTAAAAAAAAAATAAGTTTTAAAAACTGACTTTCTGTATTTATGATAGATATGACCATTTTTGGTGTTGAGTAGATTGTTGCATTGGAAATGAACTGAAGCAGTATGGTAGATTTAAAAGGAAAAAAAAAAACCTTTTGTGTACATTTAGCTTTTTGTATGGTCCAGCTGACAGCTCCTCATTTGATGTTGTCTTGTTCATTCCTAGCAGATAGATTGCAATCCGTTGATTCGCCTAAGCTTTTCTCCCCTTTGTCCCTTAATTCCACTTTCTCTTTCCTCCTCCCACCCTATAATCTCCCATTTAAGGTAGCTGCCTTCATTTCTTAGAGGGTAGCTGCAGAATTATTTTATAAAACTAAAGAAAGAATTTCAAAGGGTTCTAGGGGTCATTAGGATCCTCACAGATTATTTTTGGTTGGGGAGTTGAAACTTTTTAAAGGCATATAATTCTAGTTATCTACGTCTGTTAGCCTTGTACATTTAGTTTTTATTTATCCTTCTTTTGGGTTTTTTTTTCCACCTGATTTTCCCCCTCCTTGTTTGGTAGATGCTTCAAATATTCTTTTCCTGAACTAAAGCATTCGTTTCGGTTTGTGTAATTGGGCTGTGTCCTTTTCTTTTCTAAAAAAGTTTTTGGTTAGGGGTTTGGTTTCTGTGTTTTTGTTTTGTTTTCTTTCCTCTCTCAGAAAAAGAAATTTCATGCTTTAAATAAAATCCAAAGACACACCCTTTCACTGCTGAGGCAGAAAAAAGGGAAAGGGTTCTTGTTACTTGAGAATTTGTTTCTGATTTAAACAAACAAGACTTAGTTTAATAAAAGAAAGAGTAAAACAAAAGATTCCCAGGTTGTTATGTGCTTCTTCTGCAAGCAGAGAGGCAACTGTTAATGAAATTCCATATACCAAAAGACACATTTTTCACTTCAAAGTTTTGTCCTTGTGTTAGGCAGTCTGAGCGGTGAGTGATCCAGAGCGCAGCCAACAAAGAAGCAGATAGCACTTGTACGTACAGAGAGCAAAAAAGGAGCCGTGTGTGAGGCACTTGTGTTTATGTTAATATCCATATTCCTGTAACATGCAACACAACGCAACATACACCCTTTCTCATCTTACAAAAAAAAAGCGGTCTGAACTTTGAAAGGAAAACTTTGTGCTGCTATAACGTAGATTTTGGAGACAAATAGATGCTTTGCTGTTTCACTTTCATAGCCAAACATCAACCGAAAGAATCTCCCCTTACCCCGAAAGTTGAAGTCCTTCTCCCTTTCATTCTCTTCCTTATGTTTCAAAAGGGAACTTTGAAGACTGTGAATGCAGGTTCCTCTGGTCACCTTTGGGCTTCTTTCCCCAAATGAGTGCGGAAGCCACTCATCGACTTTGCAAAAAGACTGGAGCATTCCAAGATCTGAAAATGGATTTCTTTTTTTCTCTTTTTCTTTTTTAGCCGGGACTATTTTATTTTTATGAATTTGTTTTTAGTTTAATGAAAGAGTAGATCCTGAACTGTTGTATATATTTCTAACTAGGCTATTGATGCACAGTGCAAATTCTTTTTTTAATTTTTTAAGTAGAAATACTAAAGAATACCATCTAACTATTCATACCAGTATCCAGTTGTAGCATAAGGTGTCAAAAACAAGTACGCAAAATATTTGCTGTTTTAGCAAGCTGTTTCTTTTGACAAGAATTCTTGTATTTCTCCCTGTGTTTGAGATGAACATTTTTAAATTTTGAAGTTGTACAGTTTTGTTTTCCATTATTTTATCTTGTTTGTAACTCTATGAAATATATATATATTTTTTGCCATTTAACTGTTGTATGTTACTCTGTGTCTGTATCATATAGAAAAAAAATTGTTTTTGTTTTTGGTTCTCTATGTGATACCAATTAACAATTTAACACTAGCTTTACCTATCAAATTCTGCTAGGTCTTTTCTGAAAACTTTGTTTTTAAAAATGATAACTGCTTGGTAATAGTGCAATTTCTACCCCTTTTCCTCCCCCCTCAACTTTAAGTTCATTTCCTTGTAATTTTGCCACCTTCTCCCCAATGGCCTTTTTTTTTTTTTTTCTTTTGAGCTACTATGCCATCCTCCCTCTGTGAGGCAGAGTGACTGTCAGTGTTTTGGTATGCCATGCCTCGACCTGTGGGTGTGTTTGGCAACAGCAAGGTGGTTGGGTAGAGTGGCTAAGCTTGCTTCCACCCACCAATGTTCCCCAGAGGGGTTATGTGAGTGTTTCAACCTGGAGTGGGTTGCATGCTTAATGCTTTCCTCTACAACTGTACCACCCATGTGTATGTTCATTCAAAAAGAAAAAATAATTATTCTCAGCATTAACCCAGAAGTAGCAAAGCAGTCAGTGATGGTGAAGCTTAGAGGTCAGACATGAGCTAGCTAATGTTTGTGGGCTGACATCCACCATGGCTGTGACCAGAATCATTTACAAAGCATGAATTCACTACAATGCTCAACTGTTTAGACTGGTCTCACTCAGAGAATTTACTCCTGTAGGTAGCTGAATAGGATATCTCAACTCACTTTTAAAATTAGTTCTTCACCTCCATTAACACTTATTTTGGTTGGTTGGTTTTTTTCTGACTTTCCACAGTGTGGGTTGGTGCTGGGCACTATTCAGTCACAGCACCAAATGCGCCCACAGAATGGGAGTTATTTCTTCCATCCTCCAAAAAGAAACTTAAGAAGGAAACACACACACACACACGGAAAAGTTTAATAAATCTAGGAAGGTGTTTTTTTTTTTTAATTAAAAGCTATTTAAAGATATGAATGTGGCCAAAGTTTTACACAATTGAAAATAAAGTAAAACAGACGGCATGTGTTTAAACCTGAGTTTATCAGGCATGGCAGGAAGTTGCAGGAGAGAGAGGCAGTGACCCAAGCCAGTGCACTTGATGTTCATGGACATATATTTTTTTTAAATAATAAATTAAATTAAAACATTTTAAATAGAAGCATAAATTGAGTTGGTTGGTTGTTGGCGCTGAGATACTGCCCACTGTGAAACAAAGCTTTGACTAGTTTTTTTGTTTATTTACTTTCTTCGGGGGGGGCGCGGGGAGGGGGGGCAAGTTTGGGTAGGAAAGAAAGCATACATGAACGTGACCCTGAGGTGAAGAGGTATATGAACAGCCTTTGCAATGTACAAAAAAACAAAAAACAAACAAAAAAAAAAACAAAAAAAATAGAGCAAGTGAAACCAAAAATGATGTTCTTGGTGTTTTTCTATAATGTAGTCTTGTTAGCTTTTTTGTTACTGTAACAATGCTGATCTCGAACTGTACCAAAATACATGGAGACTAACAGAACCACATGGAACTTTCAAACTGAAAAAAATTTGTCACAAAAACTTTGTTGTCATAGTTAAGTTGATTGTAGATGGTAATTGAATATACTCCTTTGAAAATATTTCATCAAGTATGTTTCCTGCTCATTGTGATACATTAAAAAAATATGAGCAAAAGTTCCTGTCTCTGTCACCAGATTTTGTGTGTGTGAGAGAGAGGTTGATGGTTGATCCTGAGGTTGTGTGAGCAAGGACACTTACTCCAAGGCACACAAGCTCTTCGATATTTCTCAGTGTCCTTGTCTCTCCTGGCACTTAAGAAGGTACAGGAAGTATTGGTGATGGAGCTGATAGCTTATTTCTTTGAGAAGGGTAAGCCTGACAGCTTGGATGATATTTGGCCCCAAAGAGTTCCAATAACATTGATACTTTTAATTCACATGTTTATATGTGAATTTTAGGTACCTGGGACAACAATAAGCAAGGAAGTTTTGCTGACGGCGAGGAAAGAGGTAAGATTAACCTCTCTGAAATGGGAATCAGATCCACTGTTTACAAAGCAAGGATACAAAAAGTGAGTTGAATTAAATGAATGATTGACTACATTTACCTTTCCTAGCAATGGGCTTTTAAACTCTGTTAGAGTAGAATTTGAGATAAGAACAGTCTTCAAAACAGTAATAGCACTAGTAATTCCTATATACAAGAGGAAATTTGGTCCTCTTAAAACCCCTCCCACCCAGCAGAAAAGGTGTGAAATTCATTAATAAGGAGTACATCCAAGATCAGACTCAAAGGCCCTTCCACTCATCTCTAATTTATAGCCAAAGCCCGTAAATAATTTACACAACTCTAGCAGTGGGCCTGGATGGCACTGCAAGAGAGCTGTCTTCT